GCCCGCACATGGTGGCACTAAGTGTAGCTCCGTCACTTTGCTTCGACGGTGCCGATGAATCTTGATCGGAAGTTGGGTCTGGGCAGGGGCCTTAAAAATGTTTGAATGTTTCAAAATCAAAAGGTGAATTTTTCATTTTACATGAATTAAGTATTTCTATGAGATTTTTTGAAGGGAAGAAATAATATTCTCCGGTTGTGGCGCGTCCAAGCAAATCATTTGGCACAAGTCTATATCCTAAAACCTCTACTGCTCCATTGATCGGCGTTGGGGAAGAAGGTGAAGAAATTTAGGGTGCCTTAGACTGTCTGGCAAATTCAAAATGCAACGATGCATTTTGGTGCATGTTTGAATTCGTAGTTTCTTTCCGACAATTTTGGAGGGGTATTTCAAGCTTTGGAGTCGGATGCGAAAAAATAAGCCAAAATAGCGATCAGGGAAATTTCTCGCTCCGCCCCAGCCCAAAATGAACTAAAATCTTTTCAGTTGTGTCACCTTTGCGAGTAAGCATTTTACGTTGCTTATTCTTGCCCATTTATAGTCACCAGAAAGTTTTTTAAAGAATTCAAAATAAGAGAAAACATTTGAGCACACACCTGAATTTAGTTTAGCAAACATTACACACTTAACTGGAAAGCAACGGAAGAGATGCTAGTTAGAAATTAAGGTGTCACTTAAACTCAGATACATTTATACTTATATATATATATATATAACAACGTACATAATTTTGGAATAAACCCAAATTAAAAAAAGAAATGTTGCGTTCGCATGCGAGCTACCTTGTTTTGTACAAAATTGGACGTGCCCCATATGTGTATTGTGCCAAAAGTAACAGCACCAAAGATCTCACATTTTGAAAGCGTACTTAGTTTTACCGTATAGCGCCAGTCACACACGTTTTTAAAAGTAAGATATGTTGGACATTTGTAGTTTGGAATGTGTTTTTAGACGGAAGAAAACAATTCACAGTTACCCATTACTTTCACTCTTAAGTAAATGATTGTGAACGGGGGTTGTCAAGTATAGGAGTTCATTAATAATTGTTGCGATTGGACACTATGTTTGATTACGTGCGTTGTGTTTTTTTTTAGTTTAATCAGTTAGTGAACACCCTGCCCGAGCTAAACGTGGTGACTTATTTTTATACTTATTATGACTTATTGTCTAGTCTGTTCTTGTCATAAATTAACCAATCTAGTGTAAATGGGACTATGGCAGGGATCCAGTTTGAAAATGGCAACAGAAAAATTGTATTTTTTTCTTTCAAGTCATACTTTCTATTTGCATTCACAGTATAACAAACGTTTCGATGATGCACCCAGCCGGATAACAAAGGTCATTCAAGCGTGTCAGATGCTACGATTAACCCATATCAAATATTTTTCAAAGATTACTCCTTATTAGCATAACAGATGTTATATGTCTTTGAGCAACGACATTATTATTATTTTTTTTTTTAAAATTCAAACATTAAGAAATAAAATAAAGACTTATTACACGATTCAAGGAAACCGAATACTTTTGACAGTTATATTATTGCCTTATAATGATTCCATAAGTTTAAAAAAACCCCACCAAAGCTTTCATGTGAGTAAACATTGCTCAGGGGTCGTTCATAAAGGACGTACGCAAAGCTAAAAACTGTACGTGCAAGTCTGTACAAAGCTAGAGGGCGATGAAGAAAATGCGTATTTTTAGCGGCCATCTTTTATTAACAACCCCTTATCTCTGAGTTAATCCTTTTAAAAGGTTAAATTTGAACTTTTATCATTTTTGTTTGTACGATAATTTAACCACCGA